AAAGAGGCTTTCACACAACTAGTGTAAGTTGTGTGAGGCACAACATAAAATCACTCCTAATTTTCGGACTAAAAACTGCCCCTCCTTCTAACAGAACTATGACATGGCATATGTGGGGCTTTGTATTAAATACGTGGCACTGATTTATTGGAGCACATAAAATATCAGACCCAATACAAATAACCCGACCCATTTAGACTAACCTCAAACGCGAAACCTTTTATCTCAAACCTACTTTCCATCTGAAAATTGGAAGCCATTGTCACAGAAGGTTGGTTGAAATTCTCTTGCACGATAAAAGAGAGAAAGACATGGTTTAGGAGAATTTAGAGTTACTTCCTTTTAAATTTTTATATTTTTCTTCTCTTTCCTTTTTTTATCTTTTGTTTGAAGTGATTATATTTTTTGTTGTTGATAAATTACAGATACTTCAACTTAGTTTCTGATTTTTATTGCGAAGTATCTTTTGATTATTGGAATATCCAAAAAAAATAGTGAGAGGCTGACAACCCTTGATATAGAGACCCTCTCACTAGATTGAGTGAAAATCAAGTGTAAGTTCGATTCAATAATTTATTTACTCATTCATAGTATTAAACATTTGATCTCTCATATCTATTCATGAATTTTTCTCCGGTATATGTATTCGTAAATTTGTTAAATATAAGCGATTTAATGTAAATTTGGAATGGAGGAAAAATAGGGGAAAACAGTGCTTGGAAGCCATAAAAATGGATAAGGATTCACCATTAATAGCAATAAAAAAAATCTTTATCATCTCCTTAAAACCAAGTTAGCAGAGAAAGAAAACCCCTTGAACCCATAGACATCCATGAAAAGTCTCCATCACCTTTTGAGTGTTGTTTTTCAGAGAGAGAGAGAGAGAAAGAGGATTTGGTTTTGAGGAAGATGAATTTTTTCTCGTGATGGTTTGGTTTTTGGGTTAGTCTTGGGTTATTTATGTTGGGTCTAATATCTTCATGTGTACCAATAAACCAGTGCCACCTATTTGATGAAAACCCCCACATATGCCATGTCATAGTTCTATTAGAAGGAAGGGCATTTGTAGTCCGAAAATTAACGTTAAGGACATTTATGGTCCAATAGGTGAAAGGAGGGTAAATTTGAGCCATTTTTAATACGTTAAGGACATTTTTGACCCTTTTCCGAAGAAAAAATAGAGGTCAACTGAACAATAGCATGAAAAAAAGAAAAAAACTACCATGTGGTGAAATTTTTATTATGGTCTCTTGGTGTTTGAACTACTAGTTAGGGATAGCCCGTGCTGAGCACGGGCCCAATAACATTATGTTGACGTTCGAAATGATGTATTAGGGAGTAGTATATGTTTTAGCTTTAGTGCTATAATTCCTTGTTTGCTAGTGTTTTTCAATTTATGTATAACTAATACTTGTATTAGTTATACACTTTATTTATTATTATTTTTATACATAGCAACCATTGAATTAGCAATACCATAATTTTTCATACAGGGACAACCATAATACTCCACCAACATAGTTCATTGAAAATTGTGGGCAGCTCGTTATATTTGTATCGTCATTGCATAGAACTTGAGTCTAAGACTGATGGTGCAACGAAGTTAATTATAAGCCTATTGACCGGAACATATACATCAATAATAACAAACTTCATAATACAAAGATTTCCAAATTTTAATCACATACGTAGTTTGAGAATTATGTTTGAGATGATAAAATAGAAACATGTTACTTCCTCTTAATTTTTGCCAATATTAAAATCTTTTATTTTGGTAAATATGCACTTCCAATCTTTGACCGGGCTTGGCTTAAGATATAACGGAAAATTAGCAACTACAATATGACCAGATAATTAAAGAATGACAATTGGTGGAATATGGTAATTCACTAGATCAGCAGGAATTTGAAATATGTGTTTTTAATTGTATAGAGCGTGTATTAGTTAATTATTTGTATTATCGACTCAACAAAATATAGAAACTACAACAACAACAACAATAATATAAACCCAATGTAATCTCACAAGTGGGATATGAGGAGGGTAGTATAACGACCCGACGATCGTTTTGAGCTTTAGCGTTCCGTTCAGTGGTTCGAGATTTTGAGTGGTTTCATATTGTGTACTATGACTTGCATGTATGTTCGGATTCAATTTTCGGATGTTTCAAGATTGATTTGGATGAATGATTCTCATTTTAGAAGCTTAAGTTAGAAATATTGACCTATCAAGAACATTAAATAGAGTTAGTTGTTAGTTAGTTAAGAAACTAATTGAGGGGCCTAAGTGTAGACAAAAGAACTTTGAGGGTCATATTATTAGAGGGGTGAGAAAGGCACGTGATTCTGTTATATAGAACAATGCCCTCCACAATTCAGTTGTATCATTCTTCCTCCTCTACCGAAGCAAAAATGCTCTCTTTCTCTTCGTCTCTTCTCTTAATTTCTTCTTCTAGATTTTGTCAGATTTAATTATAGATTCAATTGCATGCTATGAAACTTGATTCAAATAGTATAGATTCGACAAATTGACATGGTATTAGAGCCTCGATTGCTGTAATTGCGCAGATTGGAGTACTGTAGTTGCAGAACTTTAAGCTCAGTCATGGCGACAGATGAGATTGCACAACTACCTCACAATCACCCATTGTTTCTTCGAGATTCAGATGCACGTGGAACAAAATTGATCTCGTTAAAGCTCACATGTCCAGAAAACTATGCCCTATGGAGCAGAGCAATGAGGGTTGCACTGTTAGTGAAGAACAAGTTAGGGTTTGTGGACAGTACATGTGTAAAACGATCGTACAAAGGAGAATTGGAGACACAGTAGGAAAGATGCAATGTTGTTATGGTTTCGTAGTTGAGTAGAATTGTAGCTAGTGAATTGGTGCCTAGCATCATGTATGCTTCTAATGCGAAGAAGGTATGGGATAAGTTTAAAGAGAGATCTGATAAGGATAACTAGACTAGGATCTATCAACTTTGGGCTGAGATTGCAAGTCTAAAGCAAGGAACTGAGCCGGTTACCTCATATTTCTCAAAAATGAAGGATTAATGGGATGAATTGGACATTTTAGCCCTCTTGTGACTGTGAAGAATCGAGGCCCTATGTGGAACATCTAGTGAGTCAAAGATTGTTGCGGTTCCTGGGACTCAATGAGAGCTACAGTCAAGTGAGATCAATGTACTGCAGAGAAGGCCAGTTCTATGAGTTAATCAAGCTTATGCAGTAGTTGTACAAGAGGAGAGTCAAAGAACACTAGGTGTTGTGGAACCAAATAAGGAACCACTGACAATGCTTGCAGGAAGGGGTCAGATGTTCAAAGGCAAGAAACCAGGGCTGATTTGCGAGCATTGTGGTTATAAAGGTCACTTGAAGGAGAATTGCTACAAAATAACAGGCTATCCTCCAGATTTCAAAAGCGAGAAGAAAGGGCAACTAGGTACATATAAACCTTTTGCTAATAATGCTAACACAGATGCAGGTATTGAAACCAGAAATTAGCCACAAGAAAACTATCTCACAGCAGAATAGTACAAATAGTTGGTAAACCTGTTGGAGAAAACTTCACTAGAAGAAAGGAGTGCAGGACCATCAGAGTTAACAAGATCTTCAAACATGGCAGGTATTATTTCATTGATGTCTAATGTATCCAATGTATGTATATATGAATGGATAATAGACTCAGGAGTATCACACCACATAACATTTTGCAAAAATGTATTGGATTCCATTAGACCTATAGATGGACAAAGTAGTTATGGAGTGCAAACACCTATAGGAGATAGATCTGAAATCACACATGCTGGAGATGATACAATCTTAGAGAATCAGAAAATTAAGAATGTTTTATATGTGCTAAGCTTTAAGTTCAACTTGCTCTCAATGTCCAAGCTGACTAAGGACCTATGCTGCTCTGCATGTTTTTTCCCTAATTTTTGTGTATTTCAGGGACTATACAATGGCACGGTGCTGGGGACTGGTAAAGAAGATAGTGGACTTTATATACATAGTAGAGGAGATGTTGTTGTTGCTGGCTCATTTCACAAAGAAGGAGTAACAACCACACTGTGGCATCAAAGGCTAGGATATGTCTCTACACATGAGATGCAACACTTGCCGGATTTGAAGAATAAAGTGAAGCTAGAGATGCAAAAGGACTGTCAAATTTGCCTTTTAGCTAAACAAAGTAGACTTAACTTTCCTATAAGTAATAGTAGTTCAAATTGTGTGTTTCAATTAGTGCATGCTGATGTATGGGGTCCTTACAAGGTAGCAACCTATGATAGAAGAACAATATTTTGTTACTTTGGTTGATGACTATAGTTGATATACCTGGACTTGTTTGCTGAAATCAAAATGTGAAGTTTTTGTTATATTGAAAGATTTCCTTTCCTTGGTAAAAACCCAGTTTGGTGTAATGGTTAAGACATTGACAATAGACAATGGCACAGAGTTTTTCAACAATCAGTGTAGTGAGTTGTTCAATTCACTTGGGATTGTTCATCAAAGTAGTTATCCATATACTCCACAGCAGAATGGAGTAGTGGAAAGGAAACACATGCACATCCCGGATATGGCTAGAGCACTCAAGATTCAAAGTAATATGCCCATCAGATTCTGGTGAGAATGTGTTAGAACAGCAGTATACCTAATCAACAAGATACCCACACAGGTCTTAAATAAACGATCTCCTTATGAATTGCTATATGGTAAACAACCAAGTATAGATCATTTGAGAGTATTTGGTTGTTTATGTTATGCCAGTACCCTACGTAGAGGATATAAGTTTGCTCGTAGAGCAAGAAGGGCAGTAATGATAGGGTATTCAGAGACACAAAAAGGGTACAAACTATTTGATTTAGAATCTAATATTTTCTTTGTCAGCAGGGATGTAACCTTTAGAGAAGATGTTTTTACTTTTCAAGGTGAAGAAGCTTGTCAAGAGGATTTGTTCATTCTTGCACTAGTATACATGAACACTAATGTACCAAGAACATATGGTGATGATGTTCGGAAGTATGAAGGAAGAGGCAATCCCCGCTATTCTCCCTCAACCAAGCCACACAACAACAGAATCATCAGATGCAGATCTGGATGAGTTAGCAGGAGTAAATGCAGATATTCCAATTGCATCAGAAGATGTTGTAGCTAAACCTCTAGCCATTATGGAGGAAACTGAAGCAGATTTGCAAGAGCAGCAAGCAGAAACTCAACAATTGCAGTCATTTGAACCTGTTAACAATACAGAAGCTCCCACTCTTAGGAAATCCACCAGAGGCTCAAAACCAGTAATTTTGCTCAAAGACTATGTTACTGGCTTGAAGCCAACAGGACACATTTCCTATCCAATCTCCAGTTATGTCAACTACACACATTTGCCAGAACACTACCAAGCATATCTCACCAGTTTCTCTGCCCTCACAGAACCAAAGACTTTCTATGAAGCATCTACAGATGACAGATGGATTAAAGCCATGCAAGAAGAAATTCAGGCACTTGAAGCCAATAAAACTTGGGAGATAGTAGAGTTGCCACCAGGAAAGAAAGCAATTGGCTCAAAGTGGGTGTACAAAATTAAATACAAGGCAAATAGTGAGGTTGATAGGTTCAAGGCACGCTTAGTGGCTAAGGGCTATACACAACAGGAAGGTCTTGACTACCATGAGACTTTTCCCCTGTTGCAAAAATGGTCCAGTGAGGACTGTGATTAGCCTTGCAGCCTCTAAAGGTTGGAAATTATTCCAAATGGATGTAAATAATGCATTTCTGCAGGGTGATCTTTATGAGGAGGTATACATGACTTTGCCACAAGGATTCCAAAGGCAGGGGGAGTCTCAGGTTTGCAAGTTACTTAAGTCTCTTTATGGACTCAAGCAGGCATCAAGGCAATGGAATATAAAGTTGACTACTGCTCTTACTGAGGCAGGATACATGCAAAGTGCCTATGATCATTCCTTGTTCACAAAGAAGTCAGGAACAGACTTGGTTATCATCTTAGTATATGTGGATGACTTGATGATTATTGGGAGCAGCAATGATATGATAGATGAAGTTAAAAGGACCTTACATAAGTCTTTCAAACTCAAAGACTTGGGAGAACTAAGGTATTTTTTGGGAATTAAAATTATGAGATCACAAAAAGGCATACTACTGAATCAAATAAAGTACGCACTATAGCTTATATTAGAATTGGGACTCAGCGGTGCAAAGCCTGCAAGTTCACCCCTTGAGCAAAATCAAAAGCATACTACTATTGACTATGATAAGCATGTAGGACTCAAAGGAGATGAGGAGCTGGCAGATATTTGAGGCTATTAGAAGTTGATTGGGAAGTTGATCTATTTGACCATAACCAGGCCTGATATCATCTTTGCAGTACAGGTCCTAAGTCAATTTATGCAACATCCAAAGCAATCACACTTAGAGGCAGCTATGAGAGTGGTGAAATATATAAAAGGGTCACCAGGAAAAGGAATATTATTGAAGAAGGGATCATTAGAAAAGATTTTAGCCTATTGTGATTCTGACTGGGCAGCCTGCCCAAACACCAGAAGATCAGTGACAGGCTATATCATTAAGCTTGGTGAATCACTGATTTCCTGAAAGTCCAAGAAGCAACAGACAGTAAGTAGAAGTTCTGCAGAAGCAGAGTATAGAAGCATGGCAGCTGTTAGTGCAGAATTGGTATGGCTAGTTGGATTGCTGAAGGAATTTGATGTGTCCTTACAGATGCCAGTAAAGGTTTTTTGTGATAGCAAAGCAACTTTACAAATGGCTGCAAATCCAATCTATCATGAGCGGACAAAACATATAGAGATTGATTGCCATTTTGTAAGGGAGAAGATTAAAAATGGATTGATATCCACTCATTATGTCACGACCCATTTTCTGAACAAGATGGGACCAGCACCCGATCACTAAACATGACCGAGCGAACCATCTGCGCTTATCAAATCTATTATAACTTCAAATTTTATATGCCACAAGGCACTACTGCAACCAAATACCTTTAAACAATTTAAATATCTAAAACAAGCCAACTTCAAAACTTTATTTGTAGTAACCAATGAAATACTGCTAAGTTATTATAAAAACATCTGAATCTTAACCCACCGACTGTGTCTATGAAGCCTCTACTGATAAACTGACGCACTGCTTAGGACATGAGATTTCCTGGCCAGTTCTCTAAGTAAACAAAGAAGTAGCTAAATAAAAATGACTCTAAGGAATACTCCACGAACAAAAGCGGAGCTCACCAATAGCACTGGAAGAGAAGGAAGTCCTAACTCCTAGCCTGCTCGCCTGCAAGACCGGTTCCTACGTTGTACTGCAGACCAACGTAGGTTCCCAAAGGAGAACGTCAGTACCATCCATTGTACTCAATAAGTCTCAACAACAGGGGACGAAACTTTAATAACATATACATTACGAGCAAAGATCCTAAATGCATGTAAAACATAAAGCTTATAAGAACAATTCTAAAATAATTGCATAATAGCAGTTTATGAATATTCTTAAAAAAAATTCTTTTCTTTTTATTTCTTATAAAAAAAAAATACTTCACTTTATACTTTGGGAGTTCCAACTATTCTGACTTATTTCTGTCTTAGTCACCGTGTGATCGGCACGGGTTCGATCCAAACCTGATCGAATAGGCTCAATCCACGAGGTGCCACTCACTTCATGGTTCTCAGCGCTCATGTATCATACCTTAGCCTGGCTAAGTAAATTCTCAGCAACGAGACCCTCGGCTTGTGTGCTCCCTACTTTGGCACAAGTAGTTTCAGGAAGTCAACGCCTTGGTCAGGACCCTAGGCCTGGACAATGACCCCTTCTCAGAATAAAGGATACTCCCAAAAAAATCTTTTCTTTCTAAAACTTCTTCTTGTGACATTTCAAGTCTAAATCTTTTATACATACTCTACTGGTATTCTTAAATATAAGGCCTGACATAAGAATGAAATAAACATTCAAAAGTATTTATAAAGATTTTTGCTCCTTCATGAATTTTTAACATGAAAATGGCATATAAGAATAACACAACCATCGATCTAGGCTCCAATTTTTAATCCTAGCAGTCACAACCATCAATCTAGGCTCCAATTTTTCTTGCTTCTTGCATTAATCCTCTTATACTTCAATTTCTTCTGCAACCCACAATATTTCCTCTTGCACGATTCATCCTCACTTCTACTTTTTCTCCATTCGTGAAGTTTTAGAGAACAATGAAGTGATTGTAGACCGGTCAGCCTAAAGACTCTACTTATTACTTAAGAGTTCGAAACTAAAATGTGGTTCTTTTGGACTCAAAGAACCAAAATATGTGTGGAAAAAAACTTGGTGACCATTTTATATATAACGCCCTTTTAAAGGGCGCTATACCTTAATGGCCGTTTGTCCAGTTAAGTATAGCGCCCTTTTAAAAGGTGCTATATGTATAAAACCTTTTTGAAAGGCTCTATATATATTATGTGGGCCCACCAATCATTCTTCTAGGCTTAGCTGGCTAGTTTAATTTGGCAATCAGGTTTCATGTACTAGTGGAACTTCCTAAGTTTATGATCCACATGCTAGTTTTAATGTAACAGTACGTTCTTTGAACTTTTGGAAATAGATTAGTAAACGAAAAATTATTGCTTGCAGATCTCACTGCCTCTAGAACTCTTCTATTAACTTTGATCTTGATTTTTGTATGGCGCATTCTGCACAATCTAGGAGAGAGTTGGACAGTTTGCAAATATTTAACATAGCAATTAAGGTTTTTTTTTGAAGGTCTGCTAACATCTGGATCTAATAGCTTTTCCGCTAATTGCTGATGATTTACATGCATCTATGGCTGTAAGTTTTGAGCCTTATTTGACTTTGACGAGACACATCGAATGTAATTTGTTAATTTGTGTTCTAAAGCTTAATTGTTTCAAATATACAACGGCAAAGGACCAAATATACCCCTATACTTTCCAAAATAGTCTAAGAATACCTCTCGTTATACTATTGGATTATCTATACTGTTGGCCCAAGTAAAGGTTAGTTTTGAAGACTGACGAAGGAACTCAGGCATGAACCAGGTCCATCCCCTGTGTGCATAGAAACGGGCAGATTCGAGCATGTGGGATGCACGTGAAGGAGATAAGCTTAACTTGGTGTATTTAATATCTCCTGATCGAAAAGGTTGCATAATTGATAAGGAGAATGACTCCTTATTCAAAGAGAACACTATCCAAGATAGAAAAGGAGTTAGAAGTTGAAATCAACTAGAACTCTTCCACCAAGGAAGAGTAGCATTAGAACTCTAGTTATTTCTTCATCTACTAACTCTATAAATTGCAGGATGTTCTCACTTTACAAGTGTTGCACAAACGCAGAAGTTAAACGTGAATTGATATCAAAATAGCAAGGCAATTTTGCAAGCAGTTCGTGTGTGATTCAAGTGTGCAAACCTGAAGCTACATGAACCAGATAGAAGAACTAGTTTCAAGTGTCTGTCTTTTATTCTAGTTCAATTGTAGTAGGTGTTTTCATATTGTACCTTTCAGCTTTATCTAGAGGCAATTGTAATAGGTACTCAGAGTATTCAAGTTGGAGTTAACTTGAAGTTGTTGCAACAGTTAGAGGCTGTGTGCTACAACGGGATTAGAGGTAATCCTTAGGTTTACAAAGAGTTTTGTAAATGCTGTTTTGGCTCAGTGATTTAGTGAAGTGTTGGGGAAAATCCTACTGAGTAGTAGGTCGTGGTTTTTCAACTTTTGAGCCGGGTGCTTTCCACGTAAAAATATTTGTGTTCATTACTTTCTGCATTTATTATTCCGCAACAGCAGTAGAAGGAACACATAGAAGAACCAGGTCCTTCCATAATCAGTTTAAGCGAAATATTGGATACCACACAAATCATCCCCCCCTCTTGTGTGGTATTGAAGTATAAAACATCAATTGGTATCAGAGCGGGTTATCCTTGAAGAGGCTATGTCACGACCCAAAATCCACTAAGGGTCGTGATGGCGGCGGACACCGCTGTCATGCAAGCCAACACCATTTATCTAAAAATTTCTCTTTTTAGATATTTCTGAAATCACTTCTTTTATACATTTAAACAAGAAATATTAAGTTCTGCTGAATAAATAATGATGTCTTTACAAAACAACTGAGCAATCCCGAAATCATCCCAGATTCCGGTGTCACAAGTGCATGAGCAATTACTAGGAAATCCAATAAAGTACAATAGCTATCCGAAATACAAACTTGGACAGAAAGTAAATATAATACACTAAAAGGGACTCTGCTGGCTGCGGGTCGTCTCGAGGGATGCAGCTCACCTAAGTCTCTGTATCATCCGTACTGCTACGCACATTAGGCCACTAGAGGTACATGTGCCTGTACAACAAAAATGCACAGCAAGTGTAGCATGAGTACAAAAACAATGTGTACTCAGTAAGTATCCCTCCTAACCTCGAAGAAGTAGAGACGAGAGGTCGACTTCGACACTTACTAGTGGTCCAATAATAAAATACCAATTGTACAATAAATCAGGGATTTCTATAAACATGGCTATAACTCAATAGAATGGAGCAAGTAAACAATTCTTTTATTCATAGGGAAATTTTCAAATCCGTTTTCATCATTTAAGCATTTATTCTCAATCCGGGAAAGCAATGTCCTCATTTATAAATATCAAGGCAAGCAATACAAGCATGCGCAAATCATGCCGAGGTCA